GGGCTTTGAGCAACCTGGTCTAGTGGAAGGTGTCCCTGCCCATGGCAGAGAGATTGCAACTAGATGATCTTTAAGGTCCCTTCCAACTCAAACTGTTCTATGCTTCCGTGAAGCTACTAACAACAATATAGGTAAGGAACAGAATGATTGCATTGTCAGTTTGCCATAATTACTCAGGAACACTGAAAATACATTTTCATGGTAAATTTTCTGTCTTCAGTGATGGTTGTGAGGGAAACAGGATCAAAAAAGGCTATTTGCTTGACCTTAATATCTGAGTGCAGCGGACAGTAGAAGCAAAATGTCCAGAGTCTGTCTAGTATTTGGATGGGATAGGCCCTGAAATCCATGTAGCTTAAATGGAGGGACTAATGGTTAAATGAATGGTAAATATTGGATCACTGTACTTATTTCCATGTTACTACAGGTGGAGTGCATGATCTCAGAATGTGTCCTAAACCACAAATATGCATTGAAGTGCAGTATTTCCAGATGAGGCAAAAGAGGATTAGATCATGAATCCCTTTAAATCATCTTGTGCTCAGAGTTGAACTGTATCCTGCCTTGTATCCCATTTCTTCCTTTGTACAAAATATTTTAAAATTATTTTTCACAAAGTACCTCTCTTCTGGAGCCTGGATGATTATTAGCATCATTAATTATGAGGGGAGTGTATTTTAACATTTTGGGGCCACTTTGAATATATAAGCTCCTCTTCAAGCTTCCTTAAGAAAGCTGTCAATAGGATGCTGTATTTCAGTCAAATGAGAATTTTCATGAGGTAGAAAGTGCCAATTGTGGTATAGCATTGCTTACCAAAGGATAAAGTATAATCTAAGTGATAATATCAAATCTGTTGTGTGGAGGCTAATAGAAGACCGCCATATGCTTCAAAGGGGTTGGAAATATTCTGAGTAGTATTCTCTTGCTTCCTGTGAAACATTTTTATTGTGAAGAAAGGTGAAACACGTATTGAAAACTAACAGTTAACTTAATCCATTGCTGTTCAGAGTGTTCATGTAGTTTTGATTGCATTTTGTTTTTTCTGTTGCTTTTTATATATCACTAGAAAAATACCGGTATGGATTGTTTTGATATGTGGGTGGTTTTTGGATGGAAAAAAGATGAAGGAGGGGTGGTGATGTCTGACAACATCTCATCGAGTCCAGATATGAATCATTGCCAGTTTGTTTTATAACTTTAAGCGTATGAAACACATAGTTGAAAACTGATTGTTTTTCTTGGCTTGAAGTTATTCTTAAACTAATCTTGTTGAACTTGATGGTGGTGGTGATGATGTCTTTTCTTCCTTAGACTTCTTTTACTTTGTCCTGGGCAACATACATGTTGGCAAAGCACCCCAAGGTTCAACAATGTGTTTATGAGGAAATAGTCAATAAACTGGGGAGAGACCAAGTTCCTGTTGCTCATGATGTCCCAAAATTGCCTTTGATTAGAGCTGTGCTGAAAGAAACCTTGAGGTAAGTAAGTAGCAGACAACTACAATCATTAATTTAAAAAGTTAATTCCATGTAGCTGTAGTGGATTTTGAGTCCATACTAACATTTGTATTTTGTTGCTGTTACTGCTGTTTGCTGCTTCTGCTTCTATTTATTGTGTAAGTATTGTGTCCAAGGATGCCTAAGCAATGAGATATGATCAATTATATAATGTTTAATGGGGTTTAGTGTGATAGAAGTAGTATCACATATGTAGGACATGTCTGTTAAGGTAGGTAATTGAAAGCTAGATTTTTGCCTTTTAGGGTATTAGTCTCTGTGATGGACTGTAACAACCTCCTGCCCCACACTCGTACTTTGCACTGCCACTACAGTGGTTTTAAGCTTCTTGATTTAAATTGAAGGCATGTGACTTGTTTTTTTAATGCTCATACCAAACGTTCATAGTGAGGTGGGGGCAGTAAGAGGATTTTAGGGAAGGCATCAACAAGGCTTTTTCATCTCCCAGTAGTGCTGAAACATCCCCAGCTTGACAAGTTGATTAAATTTTTTGTACATGTGTAAAGAAAATAAATATACAGACCAAACAGCTCAACCTCCAGTTACTAGTAATAACTTTTCTCAGGTATTAATCACATGCTCAGAGATGATTCAAGGCTTTTGAATCTCCAAGGTGTTCTGTATTTTTGAAAAACCTTTTTACTGTGAATGCATATTGCATTCATAATGCATATTTGCAAATGCAGATTGGAATCTAAACTTTTAAAGTTGTATTTAGATATTATTTCTCATAAATATTTGTCTCTAGGTTATATCCAGTATTGCCAGGAAATGGAAGAGTGACCCAAAAAGACTTGATTGTTGGAGGATACTTGATACCTAAAGGGGTAGGTTCTATTGCAGCCCTCTCCAGAGAACACAGTTTATTTTTTGTGTATGAAATGTGATCTCTTACAATATATATCCAATTAATTGAGTTCAAAAGATTTCACCAAGCTAAAGCATGAAGAGGAAAATATTTCAATAATACCCATCTATATGACAAAAATGGATTTTATTAATGACTTGTTGGTGTTGAAATTTTTAGGTTTGTCCTCATGACTTTTTTTTAATATTCCTGAGGGTGTAGTCTATTAACTTCTCTGTGCAATGTTACAATTTCATTTAAAAAGCATCAATTTCATCATTCTTGCAGTTTTTTAATTCTTTGCCTGTTAATTCCCTTTGGAAAAAGAGTTTAATTTCCTTTTAAAATTATGAATCTTTTCTTAGTACTATTGTCATGGTTTAAATCTAGCAAAAATTACACAGAGATCATGGTAGAACTGTGCGGCTCTGTTTTAAATGACAGCATTCCTGTCAGAGCAGCATAGCTTTAAAACAGTTAGGATTCTTAATTCTTAATGTAGTTATTTAAATATCCCACACACATCTTCCTTC